ACACACGTGTGTTATTGCAGGAACCAAAGCAGTCACCTCCCTCAGTAAGGAGTGCTCTTTGAAGGCAAGACCCTTACTGTGCATGTCCAAAGTATGGCTTCCTATAGGCACTCAGGTGTGAACTGAATTGAATTGAAGCTGGTTGAGGATTAGGGCAGAATTTATATATGAAAGCCAAGTTTGTAAAATTTTAATTGTTTAAATCACAATTATTTAAAACTGTTTCCTAAATTTCAGTCAAGCGTACCTGTTCTATATCATTTTTCACTTACAAGTTTTAAAGATCTATGCTTAACTTTTTTTTTTTTTTTTTTTATAGAGATAGAGTCTTGCTCTGTCACACAGGCTGGAATGCAGTGATGAAATCACAGCTCAAGACCAGCCTCACCCTCCTGTGCGAAGCATGGTGGCTCATGCCTGTAATCCCAGTGTTTTGGGAGGTCAAGACCAAAGGATCATTTTAACTTAGGATTTCAAGACCAGCCTGGGCAACATAGCAAGACCTCATCTCTACAAAAACTTTAAATATTTGCTGGACTTGGTGATGTGCACCTGTAGTCCCAGCTATTCAAGAGGCTGAGGCAAGATCCCCTGGGCCCAGGAATTCAAGACTGCAGTGAGCTGTGATCACAACACCGCACTGCAGCTTGGATGGGTGAGACCCTATCTTTTTAAAAAAAAGACCATCTGTATCATCAGGGTTCTGCAATTTCAGGATAATGTGTCTCCACTTGGTTCTTTTTATTCATTAGCTAGATTAGACACTTGATAAGTTTCTTCAACCTGGAAATGTATTTCCTTCAATTCCTGGAAACTTTCTTGCATCATTTCTTTGATAATTTTCTCATTATCTTCATAAGTCTCCTGGATTGGTGTTCTAATTTTATTTTTCCTTTCCAATTTAGATTTTTTCCCTTTTATTTTCTGGACAATCTTTTTTTTTTTTTTTGAGACAGTCTCGCTCTGTTGCCCAGGCGGGAGTGCAGTGGTGCTATTTCTACTCACTGCAGCCTCCGCCTCCCAGGTTCACCCAAGTAGCTGTGATTACAGGCACGCACTACTACGCCCGGCTTATTTTTGTATTTTTAGTATAGATGGGGTTTCACCATGTTGCCCAGTGGCCAGGCTGGTCTTGAACTCCTGACCTCAGGTGATCTGCCAGCCTTGGTCCCTCAAAGTGCTGGGATTACAGGAGTGAGCCACTGCGCCCAGCCTAATTACCTCAGTTTTATATCTCAACCTTTCAGCTGATTTTTTTTCTGTGTTCTTCTATTGCTGGAGTGCAGTGGCATGATCTCAGCTCACTGCAACCCCCCTGTCCTGGATTCAACTGATTCTCCTGCCTCAGCCTCCTGAGTAGCTGGAATTACAGGTACCCACCACCACACTCAGTGAATTTTTGTATTTTTTTTTTAGTAGAGACGGGGTTTCACCATGTTGGCCAGCCTGGTCTCGAACTACTCACCTCAGGTGATTGCCTGCCTTGGCCTCTCAAAGTGCTGGGATTACAGGCGTGAGCCACCATGCCCAGCCTTCTGTGTTCTTCTATTCTTCATTTCCAATCATCCCTTCCCAGCTGTTTTTCTCATTCTGAGACCACTCCTCCTTGGTACTATTCCATTGTTTCATGAGTATAATATCCTTTAAGATCTTAGTTACCTAAGTTTGGAAATCTTCTTGTATCTCATGTGCTGTTTCTGAGTTAGTTTTTTTCTGTTTATTCATTTGTTTTGGTCTCCTTTTTCTTTTTCTTTCTTTTTTCTTTTCTTTTCTTTTTTTTTTTTTTTTTTTTTTTTTTGAGACGGACTCTTGCTCTGTCGCCCAGGCTGGAGTGCAGTGGCATGATCTCGACTCACTGCAACCTCCGCCTCCCCGGTTCACTCACGCCATTCTCCTGCCTCAGCCTCCTGAGTAGCTGGGACTATAGGCGCCCACCACCACACCCAGATAGTTTTTTGTATTTTTAGTAGAGACGGGGTTTCACTGTAGTCTCGATCTCCTGACCTTGTGATCTGCCCGCCTCGGCCTCCCAAAGTGCTGAGATTACAGGTGTGAGCCACCGCGCCCGGCCTTGGTCTTTTTTTCTTTTTAAGACAGGGTCTTGCCATGTTACCCAGGCTGAACTGCAGTAGCTATTCACAGATCTCACTCATCAGCATGGGAGTTCTGACCTGTCCATTTCCACCTGGGCTGGTTCACTCCTCCTTAGGCAACCTAGTGCTCTGCTTCTCCCAGGAAGTCACCACAGTGGTGTGTTAAGTGTGGATATCCAACTAGCAAAGCACACCACAGCCCTGAACTCCTGGGCTCAAGCAATTCTCTCACCTCAGCCTCCCCAGCAGCTGGGACTGCACGGGTGTGCCACTCTGCCTGGCTCTATCTTTCTTGATTAGGATTTCCTCAAATGTCTGTTGATCCTTGATGGTTCATTAATTTTTAAGAATCAGTGCTACTAAGACATTCTTTGGAAGCTTAGTGTGGGCTGCACATGTTAAATGGTGCCTTCAGTGTAGGCCAAGCAAGCAGAGACCCACTTTTGTTGAGGATCACACGTTATCAAAAAGTGGAGTGTAAGGCCGGGTGCAGTGGCTCATGCCTGTAATCCCAGCACTTTGGGAGGCCAAGGTGGGAGGATCACTTGAGCCCAGGAGTTCAAGGTCTCTCTTTTTTACTGGGCAACACAAACCCCCGTATCTACAGAAAATATAGAAATTAGTGGAGTATGGTGGCACATGCCTGTAGTTCCGGTTACTCTGGAGGCTGAGGCAGGGGAATCACTTGAGCCCAGGAGTTGGAGGCTGCAGTGAGCTGTGATTGCACCACTGCACTCCAGCCTGGGCAGCAGAGTGAGACCCTGTCTCTTAAGAAAAAAAAAATACATTAAAAAAACTTTTTTTTTTTTTTCCAGACAGAGTCTTGCACTGTTGCCTGGGCTAGAGTGCAGTGGTGCGATCTCAGCTCACTGCAACCTCTGCCTCCTGGGTTCAAGTGATTCTCCTGCCTCAGCCTCCCGAGTGTGGGATTACAGGCGCCCACCATCACGCCCAGCTTATTTTTTCCATTTTTAGTAGAGATGGGGTTTCACCATGTTGGCCAGGCTGGTCTTGAACTCCTGACCTTGTGATTTGCCCACCTCGGCCTTCCAAAGTGCTGGGATTACAGGCGTGAGCCACTGTGGCCCAGCCCATTTTCTTTTTTTTTTTTTTTTTTGAGAGAGTCTCACTCTGTTGCCCAGGCTGGAGTGCGGTGGCACAATCTCGGCTTACCGCAGCGTCCCGTTTTCAAGCGATTCTCCTGGCTCAGCCTCCTGAGTAGCTGGGATTACCAGCGTGCACCACTATATCCTAATTTTTTGTATTTTTAGTAGAGATGAGGTTTCACCATGTTGGCCAGGCTGGTCTCGAACTCCTGACCTCAAGTGATCAGCCTGCCTCAGCCTCTCAAAGTGCCGGGATAACAGGCATGAGCCACTGCGCCTGGCGTAAAAAAATACATTAAAAAAAAAAAAATCTTTTTTCTTGGGCTGGTCAGTTTCCACACAGAGGAATCCTTTAGTTCTTGTCAGGGCGTTGGGGGAAGGATGGTGGTGGTAGCTGAGCATGCAATGAGCCTAGTGGCCAACATTCTTGTGACTAACCGGATGAAAGGGATTAAGAGGTCCTACTCTTCCTTATGTGAACTCCGTATAATCCCGTCTTTATTACTGCATCCCGATCCGAGCTATGCTTGGTGTCCAGAATCCTCCTGTTCAGGTCCCCTGGAATGGCCTTTCTCTTAGTGCTCCACGGTGATGAAAGTGAGCTAATCCCCTGAACATGTGTGTGAGAAAGGAAATGTGGAAGGCAACCTTTTCCTCTAAATGCTCCTGCTTTCAGTTCCACAGCTCTCAAACAGGAGGCTAGCGCTGCCAACTCCCAGACTCTGGAAATTCCAGACTCACTGGATTAAATGAACTTGCTTCTTGGTCTCCTTCCATATAGGCACTGGTGTTCCATTTTCTCAGGTCCATAAAGATCTGATTTCCAGTTTTCAAACTTTTGTTAACTGATTTATCTGCTGTCGTTTCCTATTTATTTATTTATTCATTTATTTATTTATGAGACGGAGGTTTGCTCTGTCGCCCAGGCTGGAGTGCAGTGGTGCGATCTTGGCTCACTGCAAGCTCCGCCTCTCGGGTTCACGCCATTCTCCTGCCTCAGCCTCCCGGTAGCTGGGACTACAGGCGCCCCCCACCACGCCTGGCTAATTTTTTTTGTATTTTTAGTAGAGACGGGGTTTCACCCTGTTAGCCAGGATGGTCTCGATCTCCTGACCTCGCGATCCATCCACCTTGGCCTCCCAAAGTGCGGAGATTACAGGCGTGAGCCACCGCGCCTGGCCCCGTCGTTTCTTCTTATGGACTCAACTATGTCCTTGTGGATTTTCCATTTTGTTTTTTATTTTTTAGCTGGCGTGCAGTGGTGCGATCTCAGCTCACTGCAGCCTCTGCCTCTCCAGTTCCAGAGATTCTCCTGCCTCAGCCTCCTAGGTAGTTGGGATTACAGGCGTGTACCATCATGCCTGGCTAATTTTTGTATTTAGTAGAGACGGGGTTTCACCATGTTGGCCAGGCTGGTTTCAAATTCCTGACCTCAGGTGATCCACCCGCCTCAGCTTCCCAAAGTGCTGGGATTACAAACATGAACCACTGAACCTGGCCAATTTTTTTGTTTTGTTTTTTTCAGAGTCTCACTCTGTCACCCAGACTGGAGTGCAGAGGCACGATCCTGGCTCACTACAACCTCTGCCTCCCGGGTTCAAGCGATTATTCTACCTCAGGTTCCTGAGTAGCGGGGAATACAGGCGCGCACCACCATGCCAGGCTAATTTTTTTGTATTTTCAGTAGTGAGGGAGTTTCACCATGTTGGTCAGGCTGCTCTCGAACTCCTGACCTCAGGTGATCCGCCCACCTTGGCCTCCCAAAGTGCTGGGATTACAGACGTGAGCCACTGCGCCTGGCCCAATTTTCCTTTTTTTATATTATTAATTTTTTTTGAGACAGGGCAAGCGTCCAGCAATGGGTAAGCGGTGGGGTCGGTCCACACAGGCGTCCAGCGATGGGTAAGCGGTGGGGTCGGTCCACACAGGGAGCGCCGGTCCCCCTGGAAGGAAACCCAGGCTCTAACGAGGTTCCTCTGAGGACCCTGCTAAGCGAAATGCGCCGGCCACAGAGGGACTGTCCCGCAGGAGGCCGGGAGCAGAAATAACAGCCCGGCCGAACCTGAACGCACTTCACGCCGCTTGAACCGCACACGCAGGCACGGCGCCGGCGGAAAAATTTATTTCGGGTTCTGCCACCAAAAACATATCCTTTAAACAAATCTGCCGCGGTTTCCCAGCTCCCTTAAACCAGGGCCCCAAGTTCTCCGCGTCTCCGCCCCGCACCCAGCCTCGGGCCTGGGCAGGCGCTTCCGGTGCGGAACCTTCTGGAAAGCACCGCGCCGCCCTCCCGGCGTCTCCACAGCTCCGCCCGCACCTGCGCGCACCGGCGTTCGCGAGCACCAGTGACGGGACGGAAGAGTGACGGGGCCGGCGGCTCCGCGAAAACGCCCCTTCGCTGAAGGCTGCCCCGCGCCCCGCCGCGCCCCAGGAGGCGGGACTTCCGCCCCCGCTCCCGGAAGCGGCCTCCCGAGGAAGCGTGTCCCTCGCGGAGCGCCGTCGGGGCCGTGGGCGCCTGCGCGGGCCGGCGCGGGAGCGGGCGGCATGGCGTTCCGGCAGGCGCTGCAGCTGGCGGCCTGCGGGCTGGCAGGGGGCTCGGCCGCCGTGCTCTTCTCGGCCGTGGCGGTAGGGAAGCCGCGCGCGGGCGGGGACGCGGAGCCACGCCCGGCTGAGCCGCCGGCCTGGGCGGGGGGCGCGCGGCCGGGCCCCGGCGTCTGGGACCCCAACTGGGACAGGTGCGCGCGGGGCTGGTCGGGGCTGGGGTCGGGATGGGGGTCAGGGCCGGTGTTACCGTTGGGATCGGGATCGGGACCAGGACCAGGGTCGGGATCGGGACCAGGTTCAAGGTTGCGATCGAGTCGGGATCTGGGGTCGCCGTCCGCTTCCCCCGGCGAAGGAACCGCCTTCCGGGGCCGCTCTGCGCTGAGGGTTCTGGGGGCGGCGGGCCCTTCCCGCCGGCTTCTGTGGGCCGAGCTCCGCCTCATCGTCGCCCTTCTCTCCGCCCCTGCGAGTCCGTCCTGGGTGCCGTCGCCGGAGCGCGGGCCGGGGCGAGGCTGGGGTGGAAGCCGGGCCGCCTCCATGGGCGTTTGCAGGAGCGCGCCCGCGAGCCGCGCGCGGTTAATGAGCGTTTGAAATATGGCCCGTGTGATTCCTGAAGGGAATGCTTAGTTTACGTCAATTTAAACATAAGCAGGCCGGGCGCGGGGGCTCACGCCTGTAATCCCAGCACTTTGGGAGGCCGAGACGGGCGGATCACGAGGTCAGGAGATCGAGACCATCCTGGCGAACGCGATGAAACCCCGTCTCTACTAAAATACAAAAAAATTAGCCGGTCGTGGTGGCGGCGCCTGTAGTCCCAGATACTCGGGAGGCTGAGGCAGGAGAATGGCGTGAACCCGGGAGGCGGAGCTTGCAGTGAGCCGAGATCGCGCCACTGCACTCCAGTCTGGGCGACAGAGTGAGACTGTCTCAAAAAAACAAAAACAAACAAACAAAAATAAGTAAACTTAAGCAGGGCCGGGTACAGTAGCTCACGCCTGTAATCCGGGCGATTGGGAGGCCGAGGCCGGAGGATCGCTTGAGCCCAGGAAGTTGAAACCGGCCTGGGCAACATAGGAAGACCCCCATCTCTACAAAAATTACAAAATAAGTTAGCCGGGCGAGGTGGCGCGCGCCTGTGGTCCCAGCTACTGGGGAGGCTGAGGCAGGAGGATCCCTTGAGTCCAGGGGTCCCAGGCTGCAGTGTGAGCCGAGATCCCGCCACTTCACTCCAGCCTAAGCAACAGAGCCTGTCTCGAAGGAAAAAAAAAAAAAGTGCAGGTTTTTAACATTGGTTATGTGTTGAAATAGTATTTTTAGCATATTGAATTAAAATTATGATCAAAATTCACCTGTTTCTTTTTAATGTTGCTGTTAGAAAATTTATAATTTTCACATGTTGCTGGCTATGTTTCTGTCGGCCAGGACTGCTCTCGGGGGCAAGGATGGTTTGCCCAGTCCTGACTGCTCCTTATACTGAGTACTCTGAGAAAGGGGCACAGAATTATACTTACTACTGTAGTTGTGTTAAGTACTTTATATTACTTTTTTTTCTTTTGTTAACCTTATTTTCTCTATTATTAGCATCATACACTAAGCGTGGTGTATATATCAAAATTAATGAGCCGTAACCCATACATTATTAGTAAGGTTCATGCTTCACTGAGATTTCCTCAGCTTTTACCTGCTGTTCTGTTCTAGGATCCCACATGACAAGCAATCTTCATGCCTCCTCAGGCACGTTTTGGTGGTGACAATTTCTCAGACTTGTTTCGATGATCATCTCTGTTTGAGGCGTCCTGGTCAGGGGTTTTATAGAAGGTTCCTTAGTTGAGATTTGTCTGAAGATTTTCTCATGATTAGATGGAAGTTATATTCTTTTTCTTTCTTTTCTTCTTTTTTGTTTGAGATGGATTTTCGCTCTTGTTGCCCAGGCTGGAATGCAATGGCGCAATCTTGGCTCACTGCAACCTCCGCCTCCTGAGTTCAAGCGATTCTCCTGTCTCAGCCTCCCGAGTAGCTGAGACTACAGGCATGTACCACCACGCCATCTAATTTTGTGTTTTTAGTAGAGACGGGGTTTCTCCATGTAGGCCAGGCTGGTCTTGAACTCCCGACCTCAGGTGATCCACCCACCTTGGCCTCTCAAAGTGCTGGGATTACAGGCATGAGCCACCATGCCCAGCCCATTAAATTCTTTTTTAAAAATCAGTAAAATATTCTGAATTTCTTAGGCCTTTTTAAGGAAAGAGATTAAGGTTAAAGAACTTGAAGTAGGTTGGGTGCAGGGGCTCACACCTGTAATCCCAGCACTTTTTGAGAGGCTGAGGCGGGCGGATCACTTGAGGTCAGGAGTTCGAGACCAGCCTGGCCAACATGGTGAAAGTCTGTCTTTACTAAAAAACAAAAAAATTAACCAGGCATGGTGGCACACACCTGTAGTCCCAGCTACTCAGGAGGCTGAGGCAGGAGAATCACTTGAACCCAGGAGGTGGAGGCTGCAGGTAGCCCAGATTGTGCCACTGCACTCCAGCCTGGGCGACAGAGGGAGACTCTGTCTCAAAAAAAAAAACTTGAAGTAGAACCGGGAACTGAGCCCAGGCTTTCTCTTTTAAGCAGGTGTTCTGTATTTGCTTGCCATGTCTGGGGAGAAGTGAATTGGGCCTTGTGGGCTGGGAAAGATGCGTACAGACAGAAGGCATGAGCAACTACAGGAAGGTGCTAGAAGACAGCATGTTTCCTCTTGAGTCTCATGTGTCCACACTGTAAAGTTCCAGAGCCTCATCTGGTGAAATCTCCAGCTTCTTCCTGGAGGTCTCATGCAGTGCACGGCTTCCTGTCTCTGTGCCTATAGCTCCCAAATACTTTCACCCTGACTCCCCCATACCTGCCAATTTGAGTCTTGGCCTGGTTTATGACAGGCCCCCAGGTCAGCGCAGCCCGAACAGGGCCCTTGAGTCACGACCATACCCTTCCACAACTTCCTTTTCTGCCACTGTCTCTGAGTAAATACCAGCAGGTTCCACTTTTGCTATTCCCAGCTCTGCCGTGTTAAACTTTTGTTGCTGTTCAGACAGGGTCTCGCTCTGTTGCCTGAGCTTGAGCGCCGTGCACTGCAGTGGCGAGATCATGGCTCCCTCCCAGGCTCAAGTGATCCTCCCACCTCAGCCTCCTGAGCAGCTGGGACTATAGCTGCGGACCACCTTGCCCAGCTAACTTTTTAATTTAATATTTTTGTAGAGATGGGGCCCCCCTGTGTTGCTCAGGCTGGTCTTGAACTCCTGGGCTTCAGTGATCTGCCCACCCTGACCTCCCAAAATGCTGGGATCTGCTTTTTCAGATTCCAGCAGCTCCGGAACAGGACTTCATAATGGGAATGGTTTCTTCCTCACTATCTGATGTGATAGTCACTATCCCATGTGGCTGCTGAGTGTTTCTTTATTTTCTGAGGTGGAGTCTCGCTACGTCGCCCAGTCTGGAGTGCAGTGGTAAAATCTCAGCTCTCTGCACCCTCCGCCTCCCGGGTTCAAGCGATTCTCCTGTCTCAGCCTCCCAAGTAGCTGGGATTTCAGGTCTGTGTCACCAAGCCCGGCTGATTTTTTCCATTTTTAGTAGAGATGGGATTTCACCATGTTGGCCAGGCTAGTCTTGAACTCCTGACCTCAGTTGATCTGCCCGCCTCAGTCTCCCAAATGCTGGGATTACAGGTGTGAGCCACTGCACTCGGTCCTGAGGGTCTAAAATGTGTTTAGTATGACTGAGGACATGATGTTTTAATTTTATTTAATTTTGCTTAAATTTTTAATTGAAACGTCCTCATAGCTGGTGGCTGCTGTTGGGCATTGCAGTTCCAGGCTCTGCTGAAGCATCATGGTCAGGGAGGCTGTCCTGGTCCCGCGGACACTTTCCACCTGCCCGCCCATCGCTGCCATCCTCCTTCCTAGCCTGGCGTTTCCGTACCCACAGGTGCATTCTGGGTGGTCCGTCTCCTGCTGTTCACTGTCTGCCTCTCCTTATTAGAGAAGATGCACAGGGCTTTGCGTATCTGTTTTGCTTTCCAGCACATAACGCAGAACAGGCCTGGAACTAGGTTTTTTGGGGGGAGTAGCGGTATGCTCAGAGAGGCCTCCCCAGGGCTGTGTCGAGGTCCTTGTCTTCTCTCCATGCTCTTCCCAAATAGTCTGACAATCTGGAAATAACATCTTGTCAGAAAAACTCAAACTTGGGAACAGAGGTCACAAGGACCTATCTTGTATTTCAACATCAGGCGAGAACCGCTGTCTCTGATCAACCTGCGGAAGAGGAATGTGGAATCTGGGGAAGAAGAGCTGGCGTCCAAGCTGGACCACTACAAAGCCAAGGCCACACGGCACATCTTCCTCATCAGGCACTCCCAGTACCATGTGGATGGCTCCCTGGAGAAGGACCGCACTCTGACCCCGCTGGGTATGTGGCGAGTCAGACCCTCTGTGACTCCCTTGGGTGTGTGATGGGGTCAGACCCTCCGGGGACACCCTTGGGGAGGTGACGGGGTCAGACCCTCCAGGGACGCCCTTGGGGATGTGGCCGGGTCAGACCCTCCGCGGACGCCCTTGGGGATGTGGCCAGGTGCATATCCTCTGCTGGTGCCTTGGTTACGTGATGCAGCTCCTCCGCAGACCCCCCCAGTCAGCTTTCTTGAAAGTGTTTGGGGCACTGGGTCTCCTGGGGCCCATGTCTGGGGCCATCACCCCTGAATCACACATTGACATTACCAGTAACTGTCCGCTGAACTTGGATAGAAGACAAGCTTTTAAAAATGTCTTTACCTTGGCCAGGCGCGGTGGCTCACACCTGTAATCCCAACACTTTGGGAGGCCAAGGCAGGCAGATCACCCGAGGTCAGGAGTTCAAGACCAGCCTGGCCAACACGGCGAAACGTCTCTACTAAACGTACAAAAATTAGCCAGGTGCGGTGGCAGGCACCCGTAATCCCAGCTACTCAGGAGGCTGAGGCAAGAGAATTGCTTGACCCTGGCAGGTGGAGGTTGCAGTGAGCCAAGACTGCACCACTGCACTCTAGCCTAGTTGAAAGAGCGAGACTCCGTCTCAAAAAAAAAAAAAAAAAAAAAGTCCTTACCTTTTAGCAAATGTCGGACCTATCTTGTTTGCATGAGACCAAATTCGGTGCATATCCTATCAGGGGTTTTGTGCCTGCTCGACGCCTTGGAAAGCCGCATAGCTTGTGCGCTCAGCTGCTCACCTGGACCTGCTGCCAAAGACCCTTCTCTTCTGCACTCACAGGCCTACTGCCTGGCGTCTGCTTTTTTTTTTTTTTTTTTTTCCGGAGACAGAGTCCTGCTCTGTTGCCCAGGCTGGAGTGCAGATGTGATCATGGCCCACTGCATGGGTTCAAGTGATTCTCCTGCCTCAGCCTCCCAAGTAGCTGGGACTACAGGTGCCCGCCACCACAGGTGGCATTTTTTTTTTTTTTTGTATTTTTAGTAGAGACAGCGCTTCACCATATTGGCCAGGCTGGTCTCAAACTCCTGACCTCGTGATCCGCCCGCCTTGGCCTCCCAAAGTGCTGGGCTGACAGGTGTGAGCCACTGCGCTCAGCCTGGCATCTGTCTCTCAATGCCTGTTGAACAGGCAGAACTGAGCGACACGATCCCGCCTGTCCCCACTGGCAGACGCTGCATAGACAGCGCCCAGGAGGGTCCTTCCACCCTGTCCTTGT